TCAGGCCGGCCACGCGCACGATGACCGACATCATCTTCTCGAGAGTCTCCGGCGAGCGCGAGACGATGGCCGCGTCGTCAGCGTAGAGCATGGCCCACAAGGCCTCCGCGTCCGTCACCACCGTCGTCTTCTTCCCCGCCGACCTGCCCTTCTTGCCCGTGTACTCCACTTGTGTGTTTGTATGTATATCGCACGGACGGGGAGATCGGTGACAATGTCGCACGTACCGGTCGGAGTCGGTGGTATTATCGCGCTTGAATTAATGAGAGTCGGTGGTATTATCGCGCTTGAATTGATGAATTCACCATTCCATACCAAACCTGAAATACAACAACTTACCTACCTACTGCCGCTGAGCGTGGTACAGAACGGACCAGCTCTCTCTGGTTTACAGAGCTGCTGCTATGCTGTGCTGTGAGTGAAGCAACTACAGTTTTTGAAACCTGTTCGTGGCTCTTCCTATCTAAGCGGTTTCACGCCCTCTGATTGGTCCGACGTTGGTTCCTAGCCTTGACCCTCTCCAGCGCCCTCTCGCCGTCCGCATTCCGAGAACACGGCTGCGCCGCATTCTCGACCAGTCCGCGCCCGCTAGGCCGCGCTTTGGCCGTGGGTGAGGGTTAGGTAGACCTCAGAAAGTAACTGGTGGTGTTCTTTTGACCAGACTTAGCCCATACTCTTATCAACCTACCACGTCTGTATGTCTGTGTCCAGTCACGCCAACCAACAATAATAGTAGACTCTAGGTGAGCGGGAAGTCCGGGGTTGTGGTGGCTATGTCCTGCCACCGGAGGTTGGCTATTTCCTTTGGTGAAATGTGGCGAGGAATGCCAAGCGTGACGTAGCGAACTCAGTCAAGCTAAGGTGGTGCGGAGAGTGGGCGAGCCTTCGTGGACTCCTTTTCCCATTCTCCTAAAGATCCATCAACTCTTCGCAGTCGTTGGGGGTCATAATAAGAGTTGGGGACCCTCGGAGAACAGTAAATCACATATTCCCTTAGATCCTACTCTTTATGTACGTGTATCTGTGCTCCCTGAATTTCCATGGTCCTGACCTCCACAAGAGCACTTCAATGTATGGTACACTGATCTCGCACCAATCAATCGCCACAGCTACACAACTAAGAAACTCGTTTTTTTGTGGGCCAGGATCGCGCCTCACGTACTGACTGGCTGCCTAACCGAGCTCGCACCGACGAAGGCGGTCAATATATTCTGAACGAGGGCGACCGACGGCGACGATCGACGGAGTGACGGCGGCGCGATCGACGAAGGCGGCCTACAAGCCCAAGGCCGCCTAATCGACCGACCCACCGACCCACCCCACCCAACCCAACCCTACCCAACCCAACCCAACCCTAGCTAACCCCAACCCCAACGGCGAGCGACGAGGCGACGACGGCACGATCGACGACGGCGGCTCAACCCACGTCCAACCCAACCCAACCCAACGCCTACCCAACGCCTATCCAATGCCTACCCAACGCAATGCAACCCATCTCGCTCAATCCCAACTCCAAATCCGCCCCCCGCCAACCCAATCTGAGACGGTCGGGGGGAGACAGACGAACCCACACCAGATCAGTTACCATCCCCCGCAAAATCGCGCCTGAATCGAACTGAACGACTACAACACGCATAGGCGATGCTTGCTTGTAACCAGCACGCCCAACCAAGCCCCCCTAGTAGAGAAAAAAACCACATGCCAACCCGCAAACACACTCCGAGACGACAAACATGTACATTGACAGAGGTGACGCGTAGGGGCCGAACGAGCGATCACGAAGATGTGCACGTACGTACCAGGCCGCTCGATCGACCGCCCGACCGAACAACCGACCCAACCAGACCCTACCCAACCCGACCCAACCCAACCCCAATGGTGGCGGACGGCGAGGAGACAGCGGCGCGCTCGCCGACGGTGTGGCCAAAGGCCGCACGATCGACCGACCCAACCCACCCTATACGCTACCCAACCAACCCTACCCTACCGAACCTAACCCAATCCGACCGACTGACCGGCTGACCCAACCCACCATCCGAACCCAACCCAACCCAACCCAACCCAACGGACCAACCGACCCCACCCTACCCTACCCTACCCCACCCTACACTACCCTACACGACCCTACGCTACCCTACACTACCCTACCCATCCAAACCAAACCCAACCCAACCCGGCCGACCGACCGACCACCAACCCAACCTTCCTTACCTTTCACTAGCCTACCTCCCTGCTGTATGCTATACTCCTTAATGTATGTCCTGTGTATGGCCTTCGGCCTCTGTGCTGTGTTTCTTTTTTTCATGACCTCCCTACCTACTCTGCTGTGTTGGGTACCTTGATCTCGCTTTGCTGTTGCCTTTGTTTTTTGTACGTCTGGCTGTCTGCCCATCTGCCGCCTCTTTGCCCTGTTTGCTCCGTTACTCCCATGCCCTGGTGCGCAGTGCCTGGTGCTGGTACATTACCCTTTGTTTTGTTCTTTGGGCGGGTGTGGGAAGCGTCCTCCTTTATTTTATTTTTATTTTGATCGGTTTCCGAGGGCTCTTTTCTCGAACGGTGGGTGCGATACCTGTTCTTTTCTTTCTATCATTTTGTTTTCTTTTTCCGAGTGATTTGTACCCTATTTTTTTTTGTTTTCTCGCGGCGTCGTATGTGCCGGGTTTTGAGACCACGGGCTCCCCATTTTTTGTGGACAATAGAGCTAATGTGAGAAACAACAACTAGCCAACCCAAACCTACCTACCCCAAACCCGACCGACCGACCGACCGACCGACCGGCCTAACCGAATCCTACCCTACCCGTCCAAAACCAGCCCAACCCGACCGACAGACGGACGCAACCCACCGTACACTGCTCAACTCAACCCAACCCAACCGAACCAAACCTCAACCCCAAAACCAACTCTATTTTCTGAACTTCGTATTGGCGAAGAAGTTCTTGTTTCGGCCACACACACATGGACTACAAACCTCCATGTATTTGCCGCTGAAACTGACAGCAGTTCGTGTCCTTTATCCTACATCAAGCAACTGCTGTCTGCCCCATCATTTTTGGGGGATATCCGTCTTAGACCCATGGGCGGCTGCAGCGCGCGTCGTCACCAGAGAAAACTGCGGTCGGACGCCTGGATGTGAAAACCGCCTGGGTTCCCCGCGGATCTCTAGACGCCATTTCATCTCGTCGCCCTCGTCCGTGTATCTATGTGGTATTCTCTTAGTTCGTAAGGCCGCCATCAGCCAGCTCGTCTTTGTGGCTGTGGGACGCGTGCCTGCGTAGAGAAGAAGCACGTAAATCATCATCACCGTAGCATGCCAATCAGGATTGATATTACCGCCGCCAATGATATGTATCCATCAACAGCAGTAGTAGTAACCGAGATAACGCGTGACCGAAAAAACAACGACGACGACGACGATGACGACGAAGCAAGGGAAAATACAGAAATGGGTGATAATCAACCTTGCCGTCATCGTCTTCGTTGCTGGAACCTACCGCCGTCCTCCAAACACCCCCTGCCCCCTCTGACCTGGCCCCCTCACCTACACCCCCCAAGCCCATCACCTCGCCCCCAACCCTCTGGTCATGACCCCGCCCCCCCCTCCCCGCACCAACTCACGCATCGTTGCCGGTCTCTGAAGCTCCCTTCTCGTTGTGACTAGAGTCTTCGGCGTAGATACCACGGATTTGTCCATCATCAACGTCAATACAGCACTCTTCTTCCGAGCGACGCCATCCTCTCTCTCGGCCCCACCATGCCAATCAAGCCGATATGGTCTGACTGTGAGCATTCGTGAGACAGACACGGATAGTTGCAGTAGTTGCCCTTCAATCAATGACGACGTGTTTCTTGATCACACCCCTTGCTTTAAGATCTGAGAGTTCACGAGAAGCACATATATCGTTGAGTTTAAGTGCTCACTTTCTATCTGTCGTCATATTTCTCAACATACATGCATACATGAACAGGCCATACTCTTCTTGATCGCTCGTGTTTGTTTGTTGGTCGACCCTCGGAGCTTTTGCTCCTGCATCATCACTACACCATCATCACGCCAACCTGCACGCACGACGGTGGGTGATTCTCTTATGGATTCATCCTCGTCAGCGTCGTGTGTGCGATGGTGGCGCAGGTGGGGGGTGTCATACCATTAGTCGACGCTAAGTGCCGGCCCGCTCATTAGAAAAAACCTCGTAAGACGTTGAGCCTCAGATTTAGATTCAGGTGGTGAGAAACTGAGCTCATACTAAGTATTATGGACAGCAATAAGGAAGGGAGCAACAGGAATTCGCACACTACCGTAATAGTCGGACAGATGGCACCGGGCGGGGAGATGGCACAGGGGTGCGCAAAAAAATACGAGAACGGCATGATTTAGTTCGATTTACGCTCTGGGGTCTTTGGGATCGCACCGGGTGCGACCTCACCGACCCCCAATCCAAGATTGAGCTCCTTTTCAGCTGCCGGAATGAGGTACATGTGTGCTTACCTTTGCACGTGGGGACGGTGTCAGCGGAGCGCCACTCCTGTCCTGTGTGTACGTATGCATGGTCGGGGTTCACGCGGGATGCCAGTTGATACCCGTACATTCAACCAAACATACATCGTACAAGCCGCACCCCCACCTTACACAACATGAAACTATTGTAACTGCGTACGTACTGGTATCCATCCGTAGGGAAAGACCGAAACGAAAGCGGAAGACAGCCTGATACCGTATGTGCCGGTGCCTCAGATGGACACCACGTAGTTTGTTGTCCTTGTCACGCCATAGCCAAACTCGCCTTCGAACACAAGACCACTCGCTGCATGGAAAGCTGCTACGTACCAGCCTACGTTGCCGTTACCGTGCTTTCAACGGTGCCTACACGTACGTGTGGTTCTGTACGGATCAATAGCATTGTCAACTAGCGTGTGCAGAAGACCGTGTGTGTGGGTATGTATGCCAACGCTGGTATCAGTACTATGACACCGGTCGGGGAGATGGCACCGGTGTGCGTGCATAGAACATGTGTGTGTATTTCATCGGGGATGGCACCGGTCGGAGAGATCGCACCGGGGTGCCTTAAAAAAAACTAAACGAAATGATTGAATTGCATTTCCGCACCGACAGGGGTCGGAGCACTGGTTTTTATTCGTTGTTGTTTTCGTCCTATGTATTATGGAGACAGTCCCCCCATTTTACGTGGTGCGATAAAAAACCCGAGGAATGCGATCGCACCCGGTGCCATCCCTCCGACTATTAAGTACACGGTAGATCAATCGGGCGACTACCGCCGCGCACACCCAGACAATTTATTCCTCTTCCCTGTGACGGTGTTGACTCATGACCAAAGCCCCATCAGCTCGAAGTGCGCATCTTTATATTGTAGGCGGGGCGAACGCAGCCGTAGGAACACGAGCGTTGATTGATGTAGCCGATCAACGGCTGCGACGAGTAGGCGGCACACCTGCTTACAGGGCGCGGATTTCCTAGCATTCGCAACAAACATCAGCCACCAGCGATGGATGAGGAAAAACCACAATAAAGTTCGGGACCACACCGTAATTGAACTTCGAAGGGGATCAGATGTCTTTTTTGTTTGCCATCCCGAAAGACTATACTTGGTGCTTGCGACGGTTCATTTCTAGTACAATAACAAAGGTACCGACTGGTAAGATGCACACACACGCAACAATGGCTAGCGGGGTAAATAATTACGAGTTTCGTGTGCAAGGGGTCGGCTAACGTCGTCAACGTTTACCCTGCCTGGCATGAAACGAGGAAAAGACAAGAAACACCCGCAATATTCTCTGTTAAGATTTAGAAATGGGGACATGAGAAGTGCAGCATACATCGCTGCGGTTCTAAGGTGTTGAGCCTCGCCTAATACAAAGTAGGTCAGTTTCTTCGAGCCGGCCGGCTTCGATCTGTCCGTTGGAATATTCAATGTCAGTCATTAGGATTTGTACTGCTGTACACAACGTAAGTAGTAGGTACTCACCTAAGGAGTATCACCGGAATACCGTCTGTTTTGCTGGACGTCGTCAGTTACACGTCACACGTACACGTACACGTATGTTTATTTGTTTGTTTACAATTTTTAGAAAGTAAACATAACCTCACATAAAGACTACCCGTTCGAAATGTGTTTCGGTCACTCATCATACCATACACGATATGTGCAGATAGATGTTGCAACAAGAAGAGTGCTCTTTGTTGCAGTATGCGCGACATCCCATCTGCTCTGTGTGCTGTCTGCCTTCCGGACCGTCCCGTCGTCGTCAAGGAGAAGCAATAAATATATGATGAAATGAAAGGAACAAACATAAGTGACCTAGACTACATGTAGATGGTTGGCGGGTGGGATAAAGGTCCATCAGGCCTCCTCAAATCCACTGTATTAAACTCCTCCTGTTTTACGTCTCTTCTCCTGGATCTGGCGAGGGTCTGCAGTCAACCAAAGAACGTGCTCATCCACTGGCTAGCAGATTCCCAGGATCCCAGGTGATATCTTCTCTTGCTGTGCTCCGCTCGAACAAGCTGAACTGCGTGCCTCATTCTTGGATCCTAGACTAATCGGGCGGGGGCCCACAAAGCACGGTGAATGAAAATGCGTGTAGTAGGTATGATACGTGCATTTGTCCAGATCGTCACGTTCTCTGTACTCTCTGCAGCACATCAGTGAGGGCTACACAGCGCCCTGACGCTGTCCTTCGCGCTCTCGACTTTTAGTATGTATCTCGCTTCCCTAGTCACCAGTCAGTGAACGATCGATCATCGAATCGACGAGGTTTTTCATCGGCCCGCCCTTCAAACACGTGGAATAACACCACCCCTTCCACGCTCCCCCCCGGCCTCAAGGATTGTTCCATGATTTCGCTACTACCGGGAGCTTGAGCCACACAAACGCAGTGCTGCACGACTGAAAAAAAAAAAGAGATGGCGGAGGAACAAAAATTATCGTCCTACACAGAAGAGCAGCCAGACCGGCGTACATCCACCCAAGGCTATAGGTTTACAGCAGTAGACTACTCCATTAGCTATCCAGGGAACCAAGATTTGCCAAATTCTGTCCACTGTAGGCTTCAAACTTGTCGGCGCAACACGCAGCCCCTCCCCTAAAAAAATGTGAGACTCGTATCTACGCGGCGCAACCACCCTGCTGTGCACCCGCCAAAGCCACCAAGCACAAGAACGCGCCCACTACAGCATCAATCGCCACTAACTTTTGAGGGAAGATGGACTGAGCACCATAGAGTGTATTGCAGAAAGGTTGAACTTGATTAGTGGCGGGAATCAAAAGATAGACACAGATGAAGTTGAAAACTTGCATTAACATACAGGCACCATACTTATTCTCTGCCACGCCGCCGGCAACACCGACCATTGGTAACGTTAGCTGCTGATCTTGCGGTTGTACAGCACTTGGAATTGTGCTGCAAGACGTACTACACGTGGAGTACTCTTGAATGGCGTCAGCTAGATTTGAACTGAAATTGCTGTTGGGGTGCCCCCCTCTCCTGCTGCAGGGTTGCACCGCACACACTTGTGCCTGTTGACTCGGGGCCCTCACCCAGCAGTACAACTCTCCGGAATCCCGGAGAAAAACTTATGAGAGGATGAAGTAGCGACACTATCACGGCAGCTACACTAACAGGGAACTTGATCACTGATGACCTTGTGCTATCTGACGTCGCACGCAGACANAGGGTTGCACCGCACACACTTGTGCCTGTTGACTCGGGGCCCTCACCCAGCAGTACAACTCTCCGGAATCCCGGAGAAAAACTTATGAGAGGATGAAGTAGCGACACTATCACGGCAGCTACACTAACAGGGAACTTGATCACTGATGACCTTGTGCTATCTGACGTCGCACGCAGACAGGCACGCCCGGCAATATGTACACATTATATTTGTTGAAGTATTTTTCCTCAAAGCATACGAATACATTGTACGCACTGAGCATTGGGTGTGTCGAAAACGCGAGGAAATACTTACACACGAACACCGCACACAAGACTGCCTCCCTCGGGTTGCCCACACCTATCAACATCATGCCCGAACTGAAGGAAACAACAATCACCATATCTACACTAAATAAAACGACACAGGCAGGCCCGGAACGCACACAGCACCCCCGTACCTTTCAGGCAGTTTGCGACTAACAAAAAACTATGCCAATAAACAAAGGACACCCAGCGCGGTCGAAAAATAATCCCCCCCGTCCACTTCCCTGCGCAACTGGGTAGGGAAATACTGGGGAGAAAAGGCGCGCGCTGTTCGTCCGTCTGATATCTCGTACCCCGGGGTCGTCGTATTTCGTGGACGGATGCATCCAACGGAAGTGAAGCACAGACGGACTTGTTGAATCAACAAGGACGCGCGAAATATGTCATTGAAACATGGAGTTAGAATAAATCAGAAAACACGAACTTTAGGTACGACGTGGAGATTTGACGTGCAATAATGCCGGGCACGACATCCCCAATCCCAATCCCAAGGAACGATATATGTACCTGCCTGAAGAAGTAGCCAGATCTCAGTTCCAGGTGTCGGCTACGAGATCCGCAACCCCATCATCTGTGTCTCCGTCACTCCAGTTGGAGTCGACGCTCTCCTCGCTCACCCCGTCAGGTGCCCCATCGCTCGAATCCAACTTGATCAAATCATCGAGTGCACCGACGGAACCGTCACCGTTCTCGTCCGACTCGGGGTCCTCTACCTCTGCGCTCTTATGTTCCGCGGCCTCGCCGGCGGAAACGTCCTCGCTCGCAGGCGACTCGGGGGTCCCCGCCTCCACGTCGTTCTGTTCCGCTCCATGCGATTCCTGCTGCCTCATAGAGGCGGTAAAGAGTGCCATGGCATTGGCAACACTGTAGGATGGCCGTGGTCGACTCTCGATGGGTGGTTGGGGTCGGAAGGTACCCTCTACCCGCCTAGTTTGAGGAGCACCCACCGTAGGCCGTGACGCAGATCTCCCCCCTGCGCGCACGGGTGCCGGCGCCGCCCGCCGTAGGGTGCAACGATTTCTGCAGCCGCAGCGAGCGAGCACTTCTTGTTCCTGTAACCTCACCTGTTGCACAGGGCCGTGTCCGGGTTACAACCACGCGCAAGCGTGACTGTCTTTCGGTCAGGGGCGATGTAAGCATACTCGGACAGGTCAAGCACGCAGTTCTCCTTTGTGAGTTCGTCGCCGTCGCTCCCCTTTCCTCGTGGGTCGACGCTCCATCCTTTGCCGGCAAATCTGTCGCCGGCATGGTCTCCCTCAGGCCATTCTGCCAGTACCGGAAGATGGCGTTACCTCGTTCTACCTGCTTGCGCAAGGAAAAAAAATATGGATAGGTGGCTGTCGTCTTCTTCTTGGGGAGTTGGAGGATGGCGTAGCGGATCACGTTCACGCAGCCCTCGACGTCGCCGTCAACGCTTTCGACCAGCTGGGCTGGAGTCAAATGAGCAGTGCCAAACGCCGCTTCATCCTTGTAGAAGAATATGGTCGCCAAAAGCTTCGCGCATTCGTCGACATGCACGGCCCACGTGCCATCCTGCTCCTCGAGCAACAGCGGCTTGTCAAACAAACCCTCCGTCCGCACGCTCTTGAGGGCCAGTACCCACATCTTGTCGAACGGCAGCCCGGAAATTGCCGGGAGATAGTCACAGCCCGACTCCAGGAACGTTCGTGATTGACCAAGCGTGAAGTCCCAGACTCCTCGATGCATGCAATTATGGCCCGGACGATTTTCTCTCCTTGTGTCCACACGGACACGAAGTCTACTGCTCGCCCTAACCGGTCCGGGCGGAGGTGCTTGAAACCGTCGTCATTCGGAGACCTGTGCCATGCCGAACATAGCTTACCGTCGTCCGAGTGCACTACACTCCCGGGGCATTTGGTACACTCGGTGCCAGGGTGGTCTGTAACCCATCCGCATTCCATACCCTCGCACGCCTTTCGTCGCTTCTTGCTTGTTGGTTGGCTTACAGATAGCACCGCTGGGGCAGAAAGTCTCCTACCCGCATGCCGCTTTCCAGGCTGATAACCGGCTTGTGTTGGGTTTCCGCCGTGACTCCTACGCCGAGGATCAACGGGGTGATTCCCCGCGGACTCTGCTTTTCGCCGTTCGTCTTCGGCAATCGCGCGAGCTTTATGGGCCGATGCCTCCCTCCTCGCCTCGCCCTGCTGTCTGTAGTAATCCTCCTCCTCGAGCTTGCTCTCAAGATTGGGTAGGCCACTACCCGTGACACCAACAGAAGGCCTCTTCCTGCGCTTCCTGCCCGACCGGGATTTTCCTCCCGTCCGACGGACGCGTGCACCGGAATCTCTCGCGTCGCGCTTTGTCGCGGCGGGGGGGGGGCCGCACCTCAGTGGTTAGGTTGCCCTCTCTCCTGCTCCCGATCCNCGCGGCGGGGGGGGTGCGCACCTCAGTGGTTAGGTTGCCCTCCCTCCTGCTCCCGATCCGTGGACCTTCACTTGGTACGTCTCCCCCTGAGTTGTCGACCACTGGAGTACGCGGGGTTAGCGTGCCTCCCGTAACCTGACGAAGGTCCCATGCTGGCTGCGTACCCCCTCTTCCGGGTGTAACATAGCTCCCAGGCTGGTTCCGAGGCGTAGCCGGTGGCGCAGCCGGTTGACCTGTGGGGTTGTTAGCACCCCCAGTCCGGTTGCCCCGCCTGCCTCTCCGACGGGTCATCTGTCAGCACGACCTGTGCCGGCCGTTATCCCATGCATTAACTACCTGGCCATGGTATACGACCAAAAATTACAAAATGTCACGTGACACGTACAGCCTACGCAGGCGCACACCTATGCTTTGCTGCTGTCTGTGGGCGCGCTTCGTTGTCAAATCTACTGCTGTCTATGCACGGTCTGGAGTGTACGTAGCTGAGCGCCCCGGGTCATGTTTGACTCGTACCATGGCAAAGCACCGAGTCTAATTTTAAATTTTACCTTAAAGACAGACTTACTTGCCCTCTCGAAGTCCAGATTTCCTATAAATTGTTGTGGCGGCCTGACTGTATCGGGCATTTCCATAGTATCTTTGGATGGGGGTCGTGTATCCAGGGGGTGTACATGCGCAACATGCAAGAGCGTGCGTTCGAACCCCCCGGCGTGAGCTCTCCAGAAATTTGAATTTTGAACACACCATGCTTATTTTCTACCGCACTAAATCGCCTTAAACCTTTTGCATTAGGTGGCAATGAGACCCATATATATGTCGGCAGCATCATTAGGTTGCAAGACGCCAATTTTGCGCAGAGGTCGGCTCGCGTGTGAAGCTTCCTCGCGGATCTTGGAGCTGCCGCAGTGTGGTACGCTCTAGCTACAGTCTAAATTTCTCACCCTACGATGTGTATCTAGGGGTATAAAACAAACCCTGCTAGGGCCTTGTATCGTGTTAACATACCTCTCGTGTTGTCTGGGCAGTTTAGCCTCTGGTTCGCCCTCTAGAGCCGGTGCTGGGTGTGGAGGTCTGTTGCGCCGCGAGCCGTCTGATCACAGGGGTTTCCACAGGGGGCTGCTTTCCCGTTGGAAGCATTTTTTCTCACACTATTTGTTTTTTTAGTCGTGCAGCACTGAACAGATCAGGGTACAACACCAGGCAGCAGCTAGCGGGTAGCATTCTTGCTTCGAAGCCAGGGCAGAGCGTTGGTAACGATGACACTCAGGAATGGGTTCGGCCTGCCTCTGCTTCTTTTGCTGCTGACGACTGGGAATGTAGCTGCCTCCTCCACGAGGGGATACAAGCGGACGGGTGAGCGCTGGTTGTTTGGAGTATGTAATGCGTGCATGAGGCTTGGCGTGCGCTTGCATCTGCAGCTAGCTGTTGCTGCAGCAGTAGGAGGGAACTACTGTTGGGGGAAGAAGATCGGGCCAGGTGACGTGGTTGGTATACGCGTCCCTTGAGCCGGACACAACGACTTTCCGAGAGAGGTGTTGTTCGTGCGATCATGCACATGCGGTGGAACGAACGTACAACGACCACGGACGCGCCGCGTGTGCAAGGTGCAGGTACATTACATGTGCAACTACGCATACAAATAGTTGGAGTTTTCCGTATGGCGTGAGCGTGAGCACAAACGCCTTCGGAAGCGGGCGGTGTTGGTCAGACCCTGCCTGTCCATACAACTTAAACCTCCGTGTGTGTTTGTAATTTCCTTCGGGAGCTTCCTGTACTTGACGTTCAGAGAACCTCGCGAGTCCGCACGATGGGTAGACTACAATACTGCTGTACCCACAGCCCTCCCGATACGTTGTTTAGTCTACAACTAACGGCTGTACTGCTGTTGTATCAATTGCATCTGTTCCATTCCCTTCGGAGCGGGTTGTATCTTCCAGTTGACTGCAGAAGCTAGTCCTTGTCGCTGCCTTGCTTGTTCGTGCGGACAGATCGTTTTGTCAGATTGTGTTCAACAGCCACAGTCTAAAAAACCTGCATTGGTGGTTGCGGTTAGTACTTGTAGTTTGTCCGGGGTCGTCGTTCGTACGCTGCAGCCAGTTGCTTCCTCCCTCTGTATGCGCCTCCCTCCTGCCGATAGATGGTTCTCAAACGCGGCCCCGAGGGACGATTCTATCCGGAAGTATGTAGGTTAGCTGCGGATGCACCGGTTCTTGTGCGCGGGAGGTGTATGCTATACTGCTGTAAACACTATTATGGGTACCGTGGTTGCAGTTCTCAACAAGAAGCCGATCGATTGCCTTCGATAGGTCACAGAATACATCACCCCCCCTCTCCCCCTTGACCGATTTTCAAGATTCTCGGGCATTCAGGACCGCCTAGACTTGTATTGTAGGCATTCCACGGCAAACAGAGAGGTTGTGGCGTTGAAACCGTCTACATAGTCGAGAGCTTTCCGACCAATTATCAGATGTGTCTGCACATGCTCTTCAACCGGTGGAGTGTAGCAGTAATCGAGCTTTCAGAATCAGTCCAGGATGTCATGTCTTGTGTCATCTACGGACGGTATGATGTGTCGCAGGCAGTTGGGCCTTGGGTGACTTCATGTGTACCGTAATAGTCGGAGAGATGGCACCGGGTGAGATCGTTTTTTAAATGTTTATTCCTCGGGCTTGTATCGCACCCTGGTGCCATCACTCCGACCGGTGCCATCTCTCCGACCCCGGTGCGGGAATGCAATTCAATCATTTCGTTTAGTTTTTTTTAAGGCACCCCGATGCGATCTCTCCGACCGGTGCCATCCCCGATGAAATGCACACACATGTTCTATGCACGCACACCGGTGCCATCTCCCCGACCGGTGTCATAGTACTGATACCAGCGTTGGCATACATACCCACACACACGGTCTTCTGCACACGCTATACGTACGCAGTTACAATAGTTTCATGTTGTGTAAGGTGGGGGTGCGGCTTGGACGTTGTATGTTTGGTTGAATGTACGGTTGGCAACTGGCATCCCGCGTGAACCGCGACCATGCATACGTACACACAGGACAGGAGTGGCGCTCCGCTGACACCGTCCCCACGTGCAAAGATACGCACATGTACCTCATTCCGGCAGCTGAAAAGGAGCTCAATCTTGGATTTGGGGGTCGGTGAGATCGCACCCACCCCGAAGCGTAAATCGAACTAAATCATGCCGCCCTTGTATTTTTTTGGCGGCCCCCGGTGAACGGTGGATTTGTCAGCAGTGGGAAGAGAAAAAGGGAAGTTCTAGCAGGACACTATAAGAGACTTGGAGTGCCCTCGGAGAATGAAGCTTGTGACCAAGTGTTTAAGAAGGAGGTGGACGCATGGGCCCAAAACGAAGAAGAGACATCGAAGGCAGACGTTGGGAACGTAGAACTAGAAAAGGAGTTCACTGAGGACGAGGTTGAGGCGTGTGTGAACAAGCTGAAGTGCCACAAAGCAGCAGGAGCGGATGGGATAGTCAACGAGTTCATGAAGTTTGGGGGGAAGGGGATGATCCAGCTGATGGTACTGCTGTACAATTGGGTGTGGAAAAACGAGTATACGCCAAGTAGATGGAGGGAAGGAGTGGTTGTGAACTTGTTTAAGAAAGGAGACAAGACTGACCCAGGAAACTACAGGGGGATCACACTGTTGAACACAGTAGGAAAAGTGTTCTGTAAGCTGCTGAACGATAGGATAGTGGGAGTATTGGAGAAGGAACATAGCATTAGTGAGGGCCAGGCAGGTTTCCGCAAGAAGAGGGGGTGCGTAGACCACGTGTTCACGGTAGGGAGAATCATCCAAGGTAGAAAGAGGGCGGGAAAGCCGACGTACTGCTTCTTCCTGGACGTGAAAAAGGCATACGACACCGTATGGAGAAATGGGTTGTGGAAACAACTGTCCAAATACGGGATCAAGGGGAAAATGTGGAGAGTGCTGAAGAAGATGACAGAGTGCACGAAAAGCGCGGTCATGCTAGACGGAGAACTGTCAAAATTCTTCGACATTGAGCAGGGGGTCCCACAAGGTTGCACGCTGTCCCCAACATTGTTCCAGGTGTTCATCAACGATCTGTTGGAAGTCGTAGAGGCAGTCCGGAAGGGAGTAAAAGTAGGGGACACGGAAACGTCGGTTTCAGGAATGCTGTTTGCGGATGATTTTGTCGGTATGTCGGACACCCCTGAGGGACTGCAACTGCAAATTGACGCGGCGAAGAAGTTTACTGATAAGTGGAGATTGTCTGCCAACGTTCAGAAGAGTGCCGTCATGGTATGCAACGAGAACAAGGAGGAACCAGTAGAACATAGATGGAAGTGGGGGATCGAGGAGATTGCAGTAGTGGACCAGTACACATACCTCGGAGTAGAGATCGCAAAAGACTGCTCGTGGAATGCACACATGTCCAAGGTAGCGGAAAAGGGCAAAGCACGAGCAGGGAAGCTGCACCCAATACTCGCAAACCGGCACCTCGATACACGCATCAAATTGACGGTTTTGAAGAGCGTAATCGTACCGCCGCTAGAGTACGCCGGAGAAGTATGGGAAGGAAATAAGAAGGTAGTGAAAGAACTCGAGGCGGCGCAGATGAAAGCAGCGAAAACCATCCTAGGATGCTCCAGGCGCACAAGTAATGCAGCCGTGAGGGCAGAATTGGGGATCCAATCCCTACGGTCGGGAAGAGACGCGAGGAAGCTGACATGGCAGTATCGCATGTGCGGGATGGGAGAGGAGAGGTTGCCGAGAATTGTATGGGAGGCGAAGTGGGCAAACAAAAAGAGGGGTAGACAACCCACGGAATGGGTCAAGGTTGTAGAGGACGTATGGAAGGGGCTCGACATCGACGAAGATGAAACGCTGGAAACGGAGGGTCTACAGGGGTTCAAGGAGAAGATATCTGTTGCTTGTGCCGAGAGAGAAGAACAGAATCTGAGGAAAGAATCCAAGGATAAGGAGGGTCTAGAAGTGTACGGAATGTTGAAGGAAGGAATAGGGTTCAAGGACTACCTACATGGACCAATGGATGCACGAACAAAGCTTAAGGTCAAATTCAGGACCGGGGACATAGGCCTTCGAGAACGTCGACGAAGACATAGGACGATAGACGACGACGACGACGACGACGAGTTCAAATGTGATTGCGGCTTCGAATGCGAGGACCTTGCTCATGTAGTCGCGGAATGTCCGTTGTACAAGGAGAGTGAAGTGTACGTGACTGAGCTGGGAAAAATAGATAGTACGTACAGGGCGATGTTTGAGGCATGGAATAGAGAGGAAAGGACGGTAGCTGTA